TTTTTTTTTTGGTCAGGGTCTGGTGTTTTTTGTGGTAATTAACTGGACGCAACGGAAACACGAATGGCTGCTAATAACTGGCTGGTTTTTCTTTCCAGACTTCTGAGAATCGCTTATTCCCCGCCAATTTTGAGGGCTCTGTGTGTTGTGGATAGGGCTTCATTTTGGAAGGCTGTTTAGCTTGGTTGATATGGGGAGGATGAATCAGAAATGTGGTAGAAAAATATTTGTAGGCAGGAAGGGGAAATTGTTGTGATTTTTTTTTCTCTGAACGAAGAAATGACAGTGTATAAAAGGTGTTCACAAAAATGACAGGTGCGGTGTGCCTGTGGGATTTTCAAATTTATGTAGTATACTGTACTGTATTTACCCTTCGTTTGATAATTGCAGTTATAAGTTGGTTGTGGTACCTAAGATCAAGTCAGAATGGTGCATAGTCTAAGATAATGTGTTTCCAGCTTGGAGAAAAAAATATTATTTTCCTGAGCTAAGAATTGTTGAACACAATGATCTTACAGAAAGGAATATTCATGTCAAAACACTAACAATACAGCAACTTGTATACACAGTATTACCAAATTGACAGCAGGTTGTCTGCAACTGTATTTTGTGCTTTCATTCAACATGATTCTGAAAGTTTCTGAACAATTTCTTGACCAGATTATTTGAATTGCTGTACCAACAGAAATAACTCCACTTGAGAAGGTGTGTTCTTTTACTTTTTTCAGCAGTATTTAAACAAATTTTGGAGTTCTCTTATTTGTTCTTTTAATTCCCCTCCTTGAAAATTATAAATTTAAATTTGAGGTTTTTCTTTGTCAAACAAATATGGTCTCAAAATGTATGTACAGTACTTTTCTCATTTAAGCATATTGCTCGCACAAATTTGTAAATTGAAGCCTGTGAGATTCTGACATTTTTTATTGAATCAATTCTTGTTGAAGTTCTACTGTTCCATATTTGATCATGAAATCCACTCATTCATCAATCTTACAGCATTTTATAATCAAATTAGACTTCCCATGATCTTATTATTGATTCATGCACATTCAAAACTGATCAGCAGTGTATATACACTATTGGACTTCAATATCAGTTATTACGTATTTGTCTGATTAAACAGGCAGATTTTCACTCTTGCTAAGAGCGAAGGTGAGACATCCCGAAAATGGTAGCCTCTGAGAAAGCATCCATTAAAAATTGAGTAACTTTTGCTTGACTTCTTTCAAATCTTGCCCCAGACGTGAACCGTTGAAAGCTGGGAGGGCTTTTAAGGAACGTCATGAAACTGGGATTATAAGGTTGAGTAACAAAACGTGGGAGGATTAAAGGCTCGGGACTTGTTGCCTGGAGATAAAATAGATGGAAGAATGTTTGTTCCATCCCTTTGGGGCTTTTTATGACACCGGCTTAAAATATTTTCCCCAGTCATAAAAATGTTGTGGAGCTTATTGGAACCCTCCTCTCCTTCACTGGATCTGTGATAGAAAGTTTTTTGGATAAGTTCTGGCAATTTTTCACTGATTTTTTATGCAATTTATTGGTTTAGCAGAGGCATAATCTGTTAAGTAATTTAGACCATGTGCAACACAGTTCAAATTTATGTGCAGATGTCAATCTTTGACATATGAAAAATTGGTTGTGCATCATAAGTAAGTATAAAGTTAATGACATACAGTTGAACCTCTCCAAGTCAAATTTCTAGAGACCAGGAAAAAATGTGCCTTAGGATGGTCCTGAGTTAAGGAGACAAATATTTTTGCTGCTAGGAAAAGTAGAAAAGTAAAAAACTGTGAGACATTGCTAATAAGGATATTTTGGGCCTAGAATTGCTTCTTGATGAGTTCACAGCTTTCTGAAGTTGGAGGCAGGGGTTCATTTGTTCAAGTAGTCTTTCACTTCATTTCAAGATGCATGAAATAATTTGTTTTTATAATTTTCTCTTTCATTATTTCAAGGAAATAATAACCAGAAGGCCTCAGAAAATTTGACTTACAGCAGTTTGAGAGAAAAAGACTGAGTTTGGGAGGTTTTCAATGTATTGTTTCTAAGGAAATCCAGACAGGGACTTGAAAGAAATTCAACTTAGGGAGGTTTGACTTATCAAGGCTCAACTGTATGTAGGTTTAACACTCACTTTTTTCTTTGTAAAAGCCTGGTGAATTGAAGAGATTTTTTACATCCTCAATACGTGCCCCCTTAAAGTAAGAGACACACACTTTGATTTTTGTTTTTTTGCACAAAATCATGTATCCTTGTAAGCTCTGTTATCCAGTTTTTGCTGGACAAAAATTGAAATTTTCCTGATTAATGATTATACGGTTTGGCTTAGCGCTTATTGTGCATGCACTGGGAGACTTGGCTGCAAAATAAAATGTAGTTTCTCTTTTTTTTTTACAGCGACTTATGTGTAAGAATTGAAGAGACTTTTTCATAACCCCTCACATTATTTTCAAAATCTGTACCCAGTACTGTACACGTATTCCTCATGTCCCATTCTTTTCTGCGCAATGTTTATAGAAAGAATGGTGCAGACATACAGTATAAAATAAGAATGGTTATGTATTTTCTTGCATTATTGGAAATACTGTACCGTGTACAGTGCATCTAAGTGAAGTGTCTATGCCATCTGATCAATTATACAGGCTTTCCTCAAATTACTGGTGTGCCATTGCAG